AATCAATGCTTCCCCATCTGTGGGCCATCGATCAAAGCAGGAATGAACAGTGAGGGAACGAAAGACAAAGTAAATGAAGCTCCATTTTATTTCTCTGAAAGACAAACAATGCCAAGATGTTTTGATCAATATGTTCAACAACAACTGTCAGGGAACAAAAGGCTGTATAACAGCCTTGACAGCGTCTCACCTTGGAGAGTGAATTCTTGCACTCTGAATACCTTTTCTTTGAGCACACAACAACAACATCAACAAGCCTTTTTTGTAATTAATTACCAGCAAATCAATAGGAAAGCTCTCACTTAAAAATGTGCACCAGTCTCACTGTGAATCAGGTAGTTCCCACTGATAGTTATGTCTTTCAATTGGTATCCTTAGATCCAGAGCTCATTAGTGGCTGTTATGGAGTGGATGTATACATGCGCGCTGTTAACCTTGGGAAATCTGCTGTCAGAGAAGAGAAAGCAATTGTTTGACAAAGGGATGCAATTGAAGAAATGGGGTGAATAGATTTGATAATTGCTAGAAGAAAGCAATAATACAATGCTGAAGCAGATGTACAATATTCTAAACAGTAAATATACCAGGTTTCCTACAACCGGACGGAGAGCTTTGAAGCTAAAAAAATATGAATTTCATGTGGGTGAAATGCCAAAACAAGCATTTATGTACATGGAATGGGCTGATAAGAAAAAAACACCCTTCAAGGGAGAGGGATGCGAGCGGTTAGCATGGTGAAATGCATCAGACTCACAACACTGTAACTCCTAAATTTTTACAGAATTACATCAACTACGGGGGAAATTGGTATTGCTTTGTGCTACATCTGGGTAAAGCATGAGGAGTGAAGCAGATTCACACACCTCTGCAGGCACTGATTGCTCATCATGGGCTTCATAAATCCAACAGCAGCTAGGCAGTGGTGGTGGTGGTGGTGCACTGAATTTATGGACCTGGAGCTCCAGAGACAGAAGGAGAAGCACGATGAATGAAACTTGACACAGCAGTGACATACAGGTGGCGGTGAGTGTTCATACCAAGAGTCATACACGTGTGTGCACTGTGACATGCCGGTTGGTGATGTCCTGACAGAACTTGTCATCTCGTATGCTGCAGTGGAAAGATTGTGAGAGAGGCACTCGGAGAGGCAATCTGAATTAAACTGTAAATCAGACGCAGGGTGTTGTGTGGCGTTCACTCACTATCCTGAGGAGAGACATATCCACTGGAAATCACAGTGATAGATGGACTACGGGTGAGTGGATGCGTATATAGCACATGAGTGAGTTGTTAAACTCATTAGCCTCCCACCCACCCACACAAATTCAGCTGTTCGACTGATTCACGAGTTTAATTCAGTTATGGGAAAGAAACGAGAGGTAGATGGATCAGCTCCTTCTGGTTGACTCAACAATCGCCATGTTTACTCAGCTAGAAACCCATACATCCTCATACCGCCCCTCTGCATGCGCATATGTCACAACAAAACAGGTGCACGGTTGGAATATTTCTCCCAGTTGAATAATAAAAACAAAAAGTGCACTCAGACGCCATTTAGCATGACAGATCTAAACAGCTCAGAAGGTCAAATACATCAGAGTAAAGAAGAGACAACCAGAACCCCCACGGAACGGAGATTGTTTTAAGAAATGTATTTATAATGGAATAAAAATAACATAAGAAAATAAAGCATATAAAATATAGCAGCCAAAACCCTGCCATCTCTCTCAGTGGTCTCCCAGCGAAGGTCGCCCAGTGTTTCAGTGGGATTTGTTTTAATTCTTACTCTACTGCTCCTCGTGCCTTCAAGGTAATTGGCAATCTCATTCCAACTACGCTTGATTTAGCACCCTTGTAAATGTTTTTAGTGTTTAAGAAGTTAGCATCGGGTGCAGCGAGAGCCTTCTTACTCTCATGAGTTTCTTAGTGACGTTCGGCAAATGGATAGAAACTTCTTTTATAAAACTGGTAATGAAATGGGTCTCTCTCTTTTTTTTGCTATTTGCTTGGCAATTTGCTTTTAACAAGTTATTATAGAAAGAAATATAGAAAGATAACATGAACTGTGTGTGTGAGTTTTTATGTGTTCATAGTATGTGTCTAAAGGGCATAGTGTGTCCATGTAAACTATATACACATGTAGGTCTGTATCTCTCTGTTCTATTAACACAGTCAACCTCAAATGACTGTAACAACACTTTGGACCATTACTGGGGAACCCTGTTGATCATACTATATTCACACACCGTCTGTGGGACAATAATGGTTCATTACTTGAGGATTAAGTGCGTTGGCACTGCTGACGCTTCAGCAGATGATAACATAAAGCCTCTGCGATTCCCATTCATTTCTATGTGCTGCAGAATCAAGCAGATTCAGTGCTGTCTCAAACACCGGCGTGTTCTTGTGGGAGTTCAGACTGCAGACCTGAGTTGAAATGCCATCTGAAGTCGGAAAACTTTTTGAGCAGAAAGAAAAAAAAGCCTCCCTAAATAGAAATTGCACTCATTTGTGATTCAAGTCACACAAATGTTCAAAACCATCAATTTGTTTTAAAAGAAACTAGTACAATTGTGCTAGTACTACAGTTCACTCCAGGTCTGTCAGTGGTTGATCCACATATTCATCAGCTTGTGAAACAGCACACTAATCATGGCTATTCATGCAATAAATGCTTAAAAAAATACAGAGGCAGTTTGGGTGAACTCAGATGTTACTGTGCAGATGAAAACAAATGAGGTGGCAGAGTGACATATGTGATCATGAGTCTACATTAACGTAAACACATTTAAACGAAAATGCAAGAGACTAATTCTGATTAATTACTCTGTTATCATAGAAGGAAAATGCTCCTCCCAATAGGTTATTATTCCTTCATCAGTTATCACAGTTTGTACCATTAGAGGAACTCTAGAGACAAACTGTGGGTTGACTTTCAAATTCTTTTCTTTCATATTTGGAAACTTTTCAGTTCTGTGGGGGTCGGAGATTCATCCGAATGTGGAGGGGATGCTGGATTGTTTTGTTCCAGGCTTAACTTATTGTCTTTTGAGGGGTTGTACTCTTGTGATAGTTTATGGCTATCTCATGGATTTGTTTTTGATTGTTCTTTCTTTCGTGAACTTGGCAAGCTGTAGGTTGGCTTCCTTATGTGTCAAGGAGAGACACTGCTGTGGGTGGGAGGGTTTTGGATCGGAGGTTTTGATTTGTGTGGAGGTACTCTGGGATACGCCAGGATTTTGACATGTCGGGAATGAAACGGGAAGGGGAGAAAAAAGGATGAATGATGAATAGATTGGACACCTCAATTTAACTTTCACTCCTTTTCCAGGATTCTTCTTTTAAAAGAACATATACAGACATTTTCTAAGCATGACAACCTGCGGGTGAGGAGTGATGAAGACAGATCGCAAAACGTGGTTAATAAAAGTACAAGAGAGATGCTGCGGCAGTACCTTCGAGCTGTGTCGAGTCGGCGGCCTAGTTTTGAGGGATGGTGATTGACAGAACCTGATGGGCAGATTTTAAAATGACGGATACATCAGAGATAATACAGTAGCAGTGTAGACAGGCAGATGACCGCTGATTCCCACTGTGCAACAGTCAGGCTATTGTACAGTAACACCTTCAAATCAGTTGTATCAGTGGGAAAATACTAATACTACTATCTTGTTGCTGGTGGTTTGTTCTCATTGTTTCACTTCTGGAGGTTATAATTAGAGTCACAGATCAATCAATTGAATAATGTTTGAGTTATGTTTCTTTAACAGTTTGCATTAATTCTTCTCTTAAAGACCTGATTACTACATTGTAATTTTGGTTTTAGTCTTTTTTATTTCTTCGCAAAAATAAAAGTGTGAAAATGTCAAGGATCATCTGAGCTGAAACAACCCTCGAAAGCAGCGTGTAAAACATCACATTCAATAAAATTTTAACTGCCTTGACATTTAAAAGAACTCAAGTCAACTGCTGATATAAAACTTACTTTGGGTTGGTTCTGGTATTTGCTCGGTTTCATTCGGTTTCACTGGCTCAACCTCATTAAACCTGAATATGTGAGAATGGGAAGAAGCTATGATCTCTAAGTAAAATACGGTGCGAGATTGTGTGTAGATTTTTAAGTGAGAGATCATACAGAGGACAGGTAATGAGACAATAAATGGCGTCAAAGATGAAGGACATCTGGAGGAGAAAGTAACACAGAGGAGAAAGGAAATAAATGGATGTCTTTGTGTATGTGTGTCTGTGTGTGTGTGTGTAGCCATCGTGTTTATAAGCAGGTATTCAAAACAGGAAATCAACCTTTCAGCTACTCAGCCACCCACTTCAGCAATAATCATTCAATGAGCACCTGCCAACACCTCTGGACATGCATCGCTGTCTTTCAGAGATACCAACAGTTAAAACATTTTTTAATAGAATATCACTACTATAAAATAAGTCCGTGTGTCTGTACGTTTCTGTTTGTTTGTCTGTTTTCTAGGTTCAGTTGAGTTTGTTGTCTTCTCAAGGCTGTGGTGCTTTCTTCAGCCACAAGATAATACTTGTGGTTTTTGGCACTTTCAAAATAAAAGGATTTGAAGGATGACTTTGCATTAGTCTGTTCATCTTTGCAGCTCTTCAGAGGCAATATACGTTCATACAGTAAATTGTCAGATAAAAAAAGGAACTTGTTTAAAGTTTTTTCTTAAGAACAATAGAATAACAATATTCAGTACTGATAATCCAACAGAGGACAGAAATAATTTAAAAAGGAAAAGAAAGAAACAGCACAATGATAAATGACTGAAAATACTGCATAGTACAAATGCCCCGTAGCTGTTTTTGTCCGTCCTGTTTTACACGGTACAAAGGGCCAACAGGGACAGACCACAACGAGACAGACTCATCAGTTTCTCCTATGACCAAGGAAAAAATTCACCCAAGGAGATTCCAAAACTGACTACTGGCTGTTTCCTTTAGGGCAAAACAAAGTTCACAGCATTGTCCTACCCTTTAAGATCAAGCTCCGAATGGCTGAATCAAAAAAACATGTGATCTCTGATCCCTGGAAAGTAGAGAGGTGGCTGCTGGGAAAGTCAGTCCTGTTGGAATCGCTGGGCGTTATTCAGGTTCACTGCTATTTGTGGTCTTGTCCCACTCTATGCTCTCTTCACTGTGCGTGGGAGAAGGGAGGGCCCCGGTGGCCCCCGCAGGACGCATCCTCAGTCCCTGGAAGCGCCGGCACTCGGGGCAAATGCGGATGTGGCTGCACCCCCTCGCAACCAGGGCAGCTTCCTGTGCAAGTCTGTGTGAGAGGGGTTCAGGCAGTCCGGTGCCCCCGCACAGTTTGCCGTTGCTGAGGCTGACGGCCGCGGCTCGTGCCCGGCGCTCCTCCAGGGGTAAAGGCCGTGGCCGCATCACTGAGGCCGCCCGCCGGCGCCTCACCTGCAGGCTGTCGCGGCACAGTACGATCCCCTGGAGCTCCCGCAGCATCTCCTCACACACTGACTGCTGCAAGCACACACACAGGGAGAAAAAGATAGGGGAGAGGGGGATAAGAGAGGGAGAGAAAGGGAGAGAGGCCAGACAACTCACTGACTGACTGACTTGATCAGGACAGACTGATGGACATCACAGACACATAACACATAACATTACATGGTTATCTTTATATAGTGGGAACAACCTTTAGGAGCTAGCAGTAAAAATAACAGCACAAATGTAACTTTGAGACTTACTTTTCAGACACACACAGACAGATAACACACACTTTATCTCCTGGACTGATGATGGAGTGCTCCAGTGGATATCTACAGTATGTAAACTCAAATAATTACAATGACAGACATGCTCAAGACAGGAGTGACTAATTATCAATCCACACATGCTGCACATGATCACACTAACAACTATACAGATGCACACAGGTATATACCCCCCCCCCCACACACACACCTAAACACACATAAGGTTTAAGAATGAAACATCGATCTGTGCTGCTCAAGAAGAAGAAATCACATGAGTTGCTTTTTGACTTTCACATTCTGAATGTTTATTGAATTAAAGTCACAGTGTGGAGTCCATTCGAAAAGACAATTATCAAGTATCTTTTGAGGGAGTCACATCAGAAGTAATTATAACACTGCATGCACATCTTTCTCTGATGTATTGCTCAACCATTTTTGTTTCTGTTAATGGTGTTCCCGCCTCAAGAATAGCACAGCAGAGCTCCTTCACTGACAGAACTAATCATTTTCTGGAAGTGTCCTTATGAAAATGCCTCTTCAAACAGCAGGAGTTCTGTCACAAGACCGGACACACTCATATTGCTTTCTAGTCTTCGCTCCAGATTAAGCTACATTGAAATTTATGCGATTATATATTTACTTTTCACAATGAAAAATATTTAATAGTTCCCTTTTCTTCTATGTAAAGTAGAAATCTTTCATTTACTTCTTGACTTCTGGTTTGGGTTTTTGGATTGGAGTGAATATGTATGCCAGACATCTTTTAAGTTAAAGTGGATTAAGGCTAAGAAGGAGTAAAGGCTAAAACAACTACAACTACTTTTATGAGCACAATCTCAGTGGCAGCACCGTGTAAGAACAAATTCACCATCAATAAGATCCGACTACATTCAATATACTGTATCATGATATGTATACATATGAATCTTCTACTGCTGTAACTACAAAATAACCCATATAGTGCATATACTCTGAGTGAGGTATCAGTGAGGTATATCTTTGGTTTGTGCTGAATATGTCTCATAGGCTGGGTGAAGGAACGTTGGGTGTCAGAAGGAGACACCTGCTACACTTCCTGTCAAAGCTGGAAGCTGGAAAGCCTAGCGGCTCCACGAGGGGGAGGGTACCAGGGACGGGAGAGGGAGACAAAGCAGATGCAGGTTAGATAGCCCTCTCTCACCTCATTTCCTGGTGTCTGCCTTAACATCCAGACAAACTCCAGCACTGCCATGAAGATAGCCACCAGCAGGCCACACACCAGCACCACAAAGATACCGCCGATGTTCTCCATGCCCAGACCTGGAGACAATGGGATATGGTAGGAGAAGTGAGAGGGAGAGGGACGGGAAGAGAGGGATTTGTAGCAGAAGAAAAAAGGAGGCAGAGAAAGAGCTGAAGTGGAGCTGAAGAACAGATGAGGATTAACCGGAAACAAACCTTTGGCACGGTGGTCCTCCTCCTTTGGACACTTGCCACCATCCCACCACTTCCTCTTGAGGATCTCCAAACGATTGTCCTCCTGCATCTTGAGGATGGCCAGGTCAAACTCATCACGGTACACTGACCCTGCAGGGAAGAGAGGGGCAACGCTCACAACTGCAAGAAATCCCCTAACAAAGGAGTCTGTCCCTTCAGACAAAAAAAATCTCCTTCTTTCCAGTGAAAAGAAACTCATTTTGTTTAATCAAATGATATTTTCATGACCCTTTCTTCTGATTTGCCGTGGAAAATGTGAAATTATGTTGCTCCATTATTAAGACTTTTTTTCAACAAAAGAAAAAAAAGATTTCAAATATAAGATTAAAGGGCTTGCTATGATTTTGCAGTGTTCCACAGGTCACATCACAGTATGCGTTATGAAACATCCACTAAAGAGTGGATTTATCTATATTTTAAAGATCAAAGGAATTTAAATTAATCTTGTTTATTTTAAGGTGTGTTTTTCCCCACCGCCTGCAGTTTTCACTCAACCTGAGATCAAAGTGTGAGTAAACCCTGTGTTTGTTCTCGCAGAGCAGCAACAGTTACACGTTCAACAGGAACAATATTTCAAACTCCCTTTTTCTCTCCTCCTCACTTCTCCCATCACAGCGTGGAAACAGCCGCTCTATTAAAGTCTAGCAGTAAGTCTCCTTTAGTTTCTCACTTTTTGCATCATTTTCTCCCATGGTAACAGCTAATGGTTTGGCTTTTCTGAGGCTTTACTTTCAATTACCCTCTCCAGTGTGACGTTTATGGTGTATCCTCCAACTAATGCCCCTGTTTTTCATTCCCCCTTCTTCTCTTCAGTATGAATTATACAGTGTATTTAAGCAGAACTCTCGCTGCTTTCATTTTACACTGAACTTCCCTTGCCCTCTACTTCTGCAATAAACTGCCTTCTCTCTTAGCTGCTGATATCCATCAGGTCTGTGAGTTCACTCATAAGTTTTCCTTTTCTTTTCCCTTACTTTTTCAGCCATTCTAAATCTCCACCCAACCATTCTTCACTCACCCACTGGCATGCCGATGCCGTAGCCCTTGGTGTCTAGCAGACCTCCGATCTGAGTCAGGTTGCAGTTCCTCTGGCGGTAGTACTCGTTCATAGTGCTCTCCAGCAAGTAGGCATAGTTGGAGTTGAGGACGCGGGCGATGCCCTCCTCTGTGCTCTTCACAAACACACTGGGTTGCTTCGAGTGCATGAAGTTCCACATACGCTGGTAGGTCTGGTAGCGAGAGTTCTGCAGAGTGGCAAGAGGCGATCAGGAGTAACAGACACAATCAGACGTGGGAGTCAGTAAACAAACGTCTATCAGCCGCAGATTTGCATATTTTTTCAGTTTTGCAGACCTGCAGATTGGTTTTCATTTGTTTTTCTTTTTCATTTTCTTGACTGATGGATTTATTCAAACTCTCTGATTCTCCAGAAATTGTGCTGCAGTTAAACGCGACTTTTTTCTTCTTCCACCTGAGTAGCTTCAGAGTTTCAAACAGAATCTTCACTTAACATCCTAACCTGTCCTCTACTTTCTCTTGGCCTGTCTTCCTGAGTTATTTAAGGTCCAGTGGATGTGAAAGCACAAAGAAAGACAAGGATAATGTCTCTCTTTCCTTCCCCCCATATCATCCTTCACTGTCTCTCTCCCTGTAACATACTCTGTTTCTCACACACTCTCTCTCTCTCTCGCTAAGGTCAACTCTTGAAAGGATGAAAGAGGATAGTGTGTGCCTCTCTTAGGGCCCTGGACAGTACCCCATCTCCCTGAGGAGAAGGATATTGAATGGTTGTGGCGGGAACAGACAGGAAACAGATAAAACCTATGGTTAGAGGAGGAAGGCCGCAAGGACAGGAAGGTGATGAGGAGGATAACATCACTGATGGCCCATTGATCACTGCAGGCTCTTAGGCGAGTCTGTGTGTATATGTGTGGCTGTATAGTATTAGTAGCAGTGAGTAAAAACAATCTATCACATGCAACGATGCGTGTAACCTCTGACCTGGAAGAAGGTCATTGTGGATCCTCCATGCATGGTGCCGTACTCTATTGCCGTCTGATCTGCCAGGTCGTCTACGGACTCTATCGGCACTTCCATCCTCTGGACCGTTAGGAAGGCAGCCAGGTTGGCGGTGTAGGATGAGATGATGATTAATGTGAAGGCCCACCTGTAGAGGAAAGGCAGGGGACAAGAGCATATGTATTCACCTATAAAAGTATGTAAATGGGCAAGCTGGTGTATGAAGATAGATTGACTGGGTGAAAAGTGTAGGAGGATGAAAATAACCGCGCACCTGAGGGGAGAAGACACTGCAGGATTTTCTGTGGATGGATGAATGGGTGGGTGTGTATGGATGAAGGTGATAATGCTCGGTGTGGATGAGAAAGTGAAGTTTTAGCTGCAAAGGCAGACGTACACAGACAATGTCTCACGTATGTGCATGCACAACTGCCATCACTATTTCATCTTGAACCATGATGTCCTGGAAATCTGGAATGAAGCTTCAAGATCACATAGAAAAATGAACAGCATTCCATGATGGAGCAATATGCACAAAATTAAAACAGAAACCAAATGGGTGTATATATGTGAGGATTTGAAAGCTGAAAACATGCAAATGCACTTATGTTTGTGTGTCTCTTTAGCCAACACTAACCACACTCCGCTGACACAACGTGTTGACAGAGCTCTGGGAGCAATGGTGGATCCTTGCTGCATGAAGCCTCCGACAGGGAACCAGAAACTGTTGCCAAGCGAGTACTGGTTGATCAGCAGGTTACAACGACCCTTTAGACAGGGATGGGGGTTGTACCACTCATACGGTGTCAATCTGCGGGGAATGAGAAAATGGAGTTAAACAACGGAGAGTATCAGAGGAGGAATACAGGAGCAGGAATGAAACTTGGATTATGTATTCTGACGCGAGCTAAACTCAAGAGACGGAGAGCGAGTAAAATGGAAGAAAGAAAGGGAGAGATAGACAAGGAGCAAAACAACATCAACCGAGCGCAAAGTCACCTTGGCTCTCTAGAGAGAGAACCAGCCTCCTTTTCATTCCCCATGTGCTGCCTACTTAAACAGCGGGGGTGAAGGAGATGTAATTGGTATGTTCAAATGATGCTGCATGAAGCTAAAGTTCTGTGACAACTCTGTTATGTGCTAAAAACGTCCTTAAAACAAGAAATTAACAAAAACGTTACAGAGAAAAAAGTGAGCATAAATAAATAAATTTAAAGGACAACATCACATTTTTTTGGTCTACCTAAATACAATACTCACATGCCCATATGTACATTGAAAAAGTTGATGGTCGCTGTAATCCTCCTGTTCATACTGGCTCTGAAAAGATCCATTAATAAATCAAGTGGGTATCTTCCATAGTTTTAGTAGGAAATTTCACTCTGTTTACTTAAATACTTACTCCAATCCTCACATCTTTTATTCATCCCCTGTCACAACTGCAAAACTAAAGGTGAGTGTGCTTTGCTGTTTTTGCCCCAACCCTCTGGAATCTTCTTTCTCAGTCACTCAGATATGCCGAATCTTTGGACTGTTTGAAACGGCTCCTTAAAACCCACCTCTACAGGCATCTCCTTTCCTTTGTTTGCCTTATTTTTGTTGTGTCTCTTTTTTAACATATTCTTTTCCTCTTGTTTATTCATCCATATGTTAGTATTTATATGTATGTGTATGATTGTATATATCTATATGTATTTATGGGTATATATGTGTGTGTATGTATATTTGTATACATATATGTATTTGTGAAACACTTTGTAACTGTGTGTTTCAAAAAGTGCTATGTAAATAATGCTTTACTTACTTACTTTCTTGCTGAGCTGCGGTGGAGGAATAGTAACAAAAACAAGGTTTTTTATACTACAAAGACTAAATTAGATACCCACTTGCTTTGTCTGATTCAGACTGAAGCCTCATATTAGCTTCTCTAACTGAACATTGTTTTTGTTGTCTGTCTGTTTTTTCTCAGAAAGACTACTTTGGATTTTGTTCCCATCACTTCCATTGGAATTGCATTAAAAAGGGATCTTTTTGCGGCCAATCTGAACAGGAGAAACAATTACAGCGACTGTTGATCATATCACATCACTCAACTTCTAGATGTTATTGATATGGCAATTACAGTACACCACCTATAGAACTCTATTTAGAGAGTTAATAGATCCACTTGTCTGGGGAATGATAATTTGATTCCAGATGGTGTTACATAAGTATATAACGTTTCTTCATAAGATAAAGTGCACTTTAATAATGTTTCTGTTGTATGAGCAATACTAATGTGCACCAGCAGTTGCGCCAGTTCCCTCCCTGACCAGCAGGTGTCAGTATGGCGCTGGAGACACACCACTGGGAGGAGAACATCTCTTTCTCCGTGATGTGGAAGATCAACTGGAGAGACTGAAGAGAAGCGAGAGAACAGACACCTGTTTCCTCCTCCGTATAACCCCTGAAACAAACCTTTTCATGCTCTTACTCTCTGTTCTCTCAGTTTGTCTTTAGATGTGTTCTCACTCTCATCTGCACAGAGTATAATTTACTGGTGAGCTCTTTACCTGGCCACCAGAAAGAGGACGCAGCTGACAGCCAAATAGGCCAGAAGCATGAAGAGCCAGACTCCGGGGGAGAAGGGATCCAGGAAGGAGAAGTAGCCTGGCCTACGTCCCTGAAACACACACACACAGTGCAGGGTTAGACTCAATAAAGCATGCACAGATCGTAACACTTTGATCCCATGTTTAAATCACTTTTGTTGAATGAGGATGTGAGAGGTTAAGCACTCACTTAAAACATCTAAGTCTCTAACATAACCTCCATACAATGAGTGATTCATTGATAAGCTGAATTTCAGTGTTGATTCTTTTGCCCCAGGCCCAAATTGGTCTGTGTTAAACAACATTTACTGCCGCCTGTGTAATTTGGAAAAGATAAAAAAGGTGACTGGGACAGTAAATAAAGGGATTTTGATGCGATAAGCATAGATTTTCCTGTCCTAAACTGATAGCACTATAATTATATGAATCTCATTTGCATGTAAACATTGAGATCAACATTGTATGAAAGCGCAAACTCAGTCTCCCATGAATTGTCAACAGAGTGGCACAGGGCTTGATATTGATACAAAATCACAGATAAGAGGTTTTATTTCAGGGATTCTGGCTCTGAAAAAATAACAACAACTGAATTAATTAACTGACTATTGCCTAACTACTTACAGTTAATTGGTATATAACATGCTTTCTCATGAATTTACATTTGATACATTATTAGTTTCCAATCATAGCACAATTAGAGGTCATACTTATTAACAACACCACTTGGCTCTCCACAAGGTTGCATGCAGTACTAGAGAGAGAAAGGTCAAATAATCAACTAAACCATTACAGCTACATTAAACAGAAATTCATTTCTGTGACCTATAGTTGACTTCCTGTATGACTGGGAGCGCACTGTGTCCCAGCTTGGAGAAAAAAAGGGAACGAGATTAATAGCTTTGGCTTGGACAGAAAGGCAAGCTGTGCCGAAGCAGCTACGGGCTGCTATGTATCGGTTTGGACTGGTAACCAGCAGTAGAGAAGATAAAGAGGCTGAAATAGGGTTGGCAGCTAGTAGGCCAATGGGAATATAGGGGCTAATTCCTAATGTTTCATTATCCAGCACCAACAGCTATTGTCCTCTAAATGAAACCAATTACTGGTGAACAAGCGCCAAGTATGAGAGTGATTCTGTGAACTTATTTATGTGTGTGTGTTTGTGAGTGCTCATTTTTCTTATGTGCATGTTGAGCGTAAGCCTGGCTGACCAAACACCAGCTAGGGAATATTAGCCATTTACACAGAGACGCACGTCCACCATCTGTTAATGACTATGAAATGGAGGTGGTTGTCAGGGCCCCCGAGAGAGAGAGAAATAGTGGAGGTGATCAAACAACCAACTGTCTAAGTTTTGCTATGAGAGGGACGCACTTAATCACATAGAATTTCCTTATCTTCCATTTCTGCGTCAACATGCAGCAAAAATTCTGAATAAAGTACTCCTAAGGGACATGGCAAAGGCCAAAACACGGCAGCAATACATCTCTGAGGGTCTCCGAAATTAAATTTGCAGCAAGAGTGTGAAATATATTTTGGTGGGAATTTGTTATGATAAACGAATGCCCCATTTAGACTTGTGCAGAGATGAAAATTCATTAATGCGTCTGTAATCACTTGCATATTAGTGGTGCAGAAAGCAGTGGAGGATTGTGAGATTCAGTATAATTTTTAGCAAGATTCAAATCAGCCTGCCAGTCTTAATGTGTGTCTGTCTATCTATAGAGTGTAATGCTTATGATGATGATGATAACTGTCTGAAAATAGAATAGTGGAGTGGTGAAACACACAATGGCCATCGCAGAGGTCCTGAGATACTGCCGTTGTAAAGCGACCATCACTGCCACACTGCCTTTTGTTGGCACTGGCATTATTAGGGCAACAGCAGGATGTGCTGACATGAGTCCTCCTGTTTGCTGGTCCAGTTTGGCGCATGCTGAACCAGCGTTTTGTTAACTGCTTGCCCCGCTTGTCCACATCTTAAGCTCCCACCAAGGTGCTATTATTAAGATGAAGAGAGCTGTGGAGACTCCCATGCTAACAGATGGTAGAGAAGTGAAGGTGCAGAAGAGCAGTTCAGAAATAGAGACAGCGAGAAAGGTAGGAAGAGACAGAGATCACAAAGTCAACAGGAAAAAAGTAGGAGTTGCTGCTGAGAAAATCTTGACTGTGGTGCTGTAATATGTGTGCTTTAAGACTCAGAGACAAAGTTATGCTTTCAGCAGTTGGAGGGGAAATTATCCACGATGAGACTGCAAGACACACACTAATGAGCACACAGAAATTCAGATTCAGAACTGCATAAAATGTTTTAAGAAAATCTGTGTGCACTTTCCAAAATGTGTCAGGATAATTTTCTTTTCCATTTTACACACATCTTAGGTCTTTCAGGCCGAGTCCTAGAAAGAACAGGCTAATTAATGATCTACTATGATGTGTGCCATGATGTAATGTTTTTACAGTGGCACTAATCAACACAATGGATTAAATGCCACTTTAGCTCATTTAGATTTTTCTATTTTGGTTCAGCGCTCTTGTCAGCCTCCTCCCACTCCAGTCCTGCTCTGATAAACCTACTGCACACTTCTTGTCCAGCACCAAACACCAGACAGACCAAGTTAGCGACGAGCTGGTGAACACAGTGAAGCATTTAGCAGCTAAAGAGTCAGATATTTCCCTCAGAAATAGGTGGTGACCACAAACAGAGCTAAAAGGAGCGTCTTTGCCTGGTTTGCTGGAAACATGAATCCAAATGAATCCTAATGTTGCTACTTGTCCGCTCGATGTTTAAATACTGTAAGCAACAATTAGCAAGCAAGTTAGCCATAATAGCTTTTTTAAAAGTGCTAATGTTGTGTTTACAGTTTGTTGTATGGCCAAAAACATCTGTTAAAGCAGGTTTAAATTGGTTTGCCACATCGTCCCAAGTTCACAGCACAGTAAGTGCACTACTGAATCCTTGTCTGAGCAGAGGTGGTCCATAGTACAGACTGACTGACTCCTGTTTTCTTTGATGTAAGGAAATTATGAAACAGTGCATCTGTCCTTCACAGGGCCTACATCTTATTCATCTCTGCAATTGAGGGTTCAGTGTCACTGATGTTAGCACAGTTATAAATAACTTATGTATGCAAATATTGAGTGTTCATAAGTTATCAGTGAGAAATTTACTCAAGAAAGGAATCAAAAAAAGCTCCCAGTCTATCCAAATGGCTGAGGATTATTGTTTAAACAGTGAGCTCATAAAGGTGGTCTCCTCTGTCTTCGTTTTGGAAGGTGAGTCTGTGTGTGCAAGACAGACTGTCAGTAGCTGTGTGTTTGTGTGTGTGTGTGTGCTTGTGTTTCAAAGCTTGTCAGCAGCTGTCTATGCTGTCAGTCATCCTCAGCAGGGCAGATACAGTACGTGCTTGGGCAACCCAGTGCACAGAAAGCACCAGAGGCAGCAGGTAGTTGACTTCTGGCTGGGGAAAACACAGCAACCATGGCTCATCTGTTACTGTTTATTGGAAGATATACGCTTGGAGGAGGCAGAAGACTCCAAAAATACGACATAATGACCTAGCAAACTAGTAGCAATTTCCTTGGTGCATAAGTTAGATATTAAATCTGCTACAATAAACAAGCACCAAATGTGAGTATATGAGTATACATTATAGCCACAGCCGGACTCTTCACTGACAAACATTTGCTGTCTTGTTTTAAATAATTTTTATTAGAGGCAGGGGATTCATTTTATAGAGGTTTATCGTCACGTTAAGATGATAAAAGGCTGTAAGGCAAATTAAAGGGCATAAGAGAATGCAGTACAGGGGGCGAAAAATCCTTTACGACCTGTTTTTATGAGTACATCTCAACTAACAAAATAGCAAGAAATTGTTTCCTATTATAGTATATGCATGTCCCATCTTCCTCTTAACACGCAGATGAAGAGCTCATTCATTTTACCTTGCCCTGCCCTTGTTCTTCTCTCAGCTTCCTACTGTCCCTCCTCCATCGCCCGGCCTTTCTCTGTCTCTCTCGAGGGATTGCCTGCATGCCAGGAGGGTGGCTGAAGGAGCTGGTGAGGTTATCCAGTCAAGGATTTCACCTAGTCATCCTGCCTCTTGGTATTCATACCACACTGTTGCCCCCTGAGGGTGCCTGCCTGAATACTGACTCATTGAAGGAGACTTCCTATTGTCATTTCAACTCTCGCTCTCTCCTGCTCGCTTCTCTGCTCTCATTTCTCCATCATCTCTCCACCCCTTCTGCTTCTCCTTCCACCTATTTCTTGCTCATTCTCTTTTATGTTGTCTTTCTTCCTCTCCCTCCCCATGTCTCGCCAACCAGTCTTTCTTTTCCTTGGCTCTTTGATAGTGTGTGCATTTCTAATTGTGTCAGTAGCAGTAGCTGTCAACTGTTACGGTTGTTGAGATAGCCGCAGGGGCGATCTGTGGAGAGCAGTTGATTTGGCAGAGGTCACAGGGTCATATTCACAACAACATCTTGTTGCCTCTTGGGCTCGCCAGATTGTCTGGCTTTATGTCTGTGTATTGTGTACATGCGTGTGGCCGTGCAACAATGTGTGTCTTTGTACTGGTATGTGTGTGTGCATGCATGTGAAACTATGTGGGTGTGTTTGTGTAATTGGGTCTGAGGTCGTGTGTGGCCAGAGAGTCAATAAAGCACCGTATGTCGCGTTCTACCTTCAGGGCAGCTGCTGAATCTGACACGGCTTCCACACAACCCTAATTAACTCCTATGTCTAATTAAACGCCGCTCTCTCTTTCGCTTATGCACACACCCACACACTTACTTTGTAGTACACTTCCCACAATGAAGAAAATGTTTAAATGGTGGAACTGGCAGAGATATAAAGTAAAACAGAGAATTGGGATCTAAGGGTTAGAGCATATGGCGTGTTGTTGTACAGATGATGAATGAAATGGGAGGGATGGTTTTTATGAGAAGAGGTTGACAGTAGCTCTAGGTTACGTCTGGGTAACTCCAATTCACATATAGTACTGGCTGCTGAGGTGTGCTCTTTGATTTGTGTGTAAAAGCAAATCAAATTTATTTATATGGCCTCAAACCACATGCATGTCTCCAAGGACACACTACACCATGTAATATATACAACATTACATGACTGTATACACAGTACATAACCATAAATCCCCAACCAGCCACAAAATAGTCAGGCAAGACAGCTTGAGAAGCTCGACAGGTAGAGCTTGTCTTCTTCAGACAAGCTGCAAGCTGTCTGAGATATCTTCCTATAATTTCTTTTTCTATGTGGTTTCCCCGGAAATCTTACAACAGTATGAGTATGCGAAGCAACACTGATCCCAAAAGAAAATCAGATCCCCTGTCTTTTGGAAAACACTGACACAAAATCATGACAGGCAATTAAGTGTTGTGATTTCCCATTGTGCTGAATACTGAATACCAAAAAGCTGACTATGACAGTTGATTGTTGTTAGAGTGGAGGGACCAGTGGAGTTTCAGTCCAGGTTTGTTGCTTCTTTCTGCTGTTTCATACAAGGAATGCATTTCTTAAGTTTTGCTGTCTCTGGTCTGAATTGTACTGAAAGACAGGGACATTATATACTTAAAGGCACTGATATTATAATATATGCTTAAAGGCACTGATATTATAATATATATTAACATAGCTTTGTAGCTTTTGTAATTGTCATTTAGCCAAAACAGGATTATGCCTTTTACTTTCTTGTTGTTATTGAGAAAAATATTGCCCGTATTGATTGGCCCAGAATGTGTGTCATAGCCCTGATACACGTTTCTGTGAGAGAGACAGGCAGACATACTGACAAAGAAGAGAGATGGAGATTAAATGGCCGATATAGTCCGAGGGTAATTAATACCCAACAGGCAGCTTTATTTTATTGCATTCGTCCTTCCTATTGATCAGACTGAAATTTTCATTTAAAGTTTGAAATAAGCAGCAAACCCCCTTGTAGAAATCACTGTGCCTCAGATCAATAGCCGGTGGATTAGAACTAAACAAGTGCAGTCACAGAAATTCAAATATCGAATTCTAGAGCCATGCTGAGGGACCGCCCTGAGTCAGATCTGAGAAGAGGCAACGGGAGAGTAAAAAGAACATGAGGAAATGATGGCAGAAAAAAGAGACAAAGACACCTGTCTTCACTCCCTCTCTTATCTCGTTCTCATTTCTCTCTGTCTTTTCAAAAACTCCACACACACACCACTGATTCATCTTAATAATAACTTCCTCCATTTCATTCTTATTGCCCTCTTTCCCAGAAATTTGGCATCAACTGGGTCAAGTCTGTGCTAATTCAACTGTGTGACTCTGTGTGCCAGCACTGAGGGACATCAGCTCCATATCACCTCCTCATGCTGCCACCTGCCTGCCTGCCTCCCACTTCAGAGGTGATACGTGACCCAGCAGCCCATTTAACACTGCACCTGCTGCGAACATCGATTGATTCTCCCCAACTGTTGGCGCTCAATTGTGTCCCTCACGGCTACACCTATTAACGCTGTGTGCTGACTATGGGAAGGTGAGAAGGAGGGAGGTTTAGAAGAAGGGGAGACGGAAGAAAGTGGGAATGTGAGTAAACGCCCCTATGGGATACTAGCTAGCGCATGTGCCAGAACTCCTCAGTACGGACTGTGTCCAGTGCCATACTGGGCCCTGTTGTGTCACCTTGGGTTTTGGGGCAGGACTGATGATTAATGGGCCACTGACTCTGCAAACACTGGCTCATTTCCACCTGCACTGCTGTTGTTTCACTGTTTCTTGCTTGGGCTTGCTCTCTGTGGAGCAGCGAGGGCGTTGCGCGTGTGAATAGGATGGCCAAACCCATTCAGAGGGCAAGCAGAAAACAACTGTGAAACGGCTACATTCATCAGGAAGTTCACACAGTAAAACGCGCCATCTGGTGCAGGCAGGATGGGGGGCCGCAGCAACAGAAGGAGGAAATGGGCGAACACAGAAGGAATGAGAAGAACTGGACACTATTAAAAAGTTCAGACTGCAGGGACAAAAAGGAGAGGATGCTGGGGAGATAAAGAAGAAGTGAAAATGTGAGACTCAGGGTTGGAGGAGAGGAAGGAAAGAAGGAAGCCTTGAAAACACATGATGCAGTGGAAGGGGAGTAGCTGAGAGGTAAAGCAGACGATAAGGTGCAACTGCAGAGTTTGTGGAGGGATTTAGACAAATTAAGAAAGATAGACTTTACTGGCCAAAAAGGGAGAGTGGTTCTTTTTCCAGCCATTAGACAAGGCTCGAAAGCATGCTGTGGTAGGTCCAATAGTTCGATAAGTGCGGATGTGTGTGTGGGGGTGGCTGGTGGGAGCTAACTCACCAGGTGGACGCGGTACATGATGCTGATGCCGAGGGTCATGAAGGGCTTGGAGAAGTCAATGACCTTTTCACGCTCTGCTGTGATGGTGAGGCCTGCAACTGCCAGGTCAGCTTTCTGAAACACAGAGGTAAAGTCACGTCATGTAAGCACATAGTTGAAGACATACGCTCATACTGATGGCCGTGAGGACGAAAACATAAGTTGATGACCAATAATTCGAGTGCTTAAAAAGAAGAAGAGGATGACATAAGAAGAGGGATACTAGATTCTAATTCCCTAATAATGCTCTTTTGTATCCCATAGCCTCTTTGTTCGCCAATGGCGATATCTGTGGTGAGGATAATCCAGCATTGGCACTGTGTGTGTGTGTGTGTGTGAGAGTGTAGGGCACAAGAGAGATCAGGGTAACCATTGTGGCCAGCCAAGGGAATGCTGTCAAGACAAATCACTTGACAAAGCAGCGGCTGGTAAAACACACACTAAGAAACACACAGAGTCACACACACAGACATAGAAATGGTCAATGTACGCTGAATACTGGATGGCTCCCTACTAATAATACAGGCCAGCAAAGTGCAACTGCAAGGGATTTTTCATCTCCCTGAGGAGCAAAGAGTGAAGGCAGCAACGCATTGCTCTTTGTCCGCTGCAGGAGAACTAAGAGGATTGGGGAGACGATGAGGAATGGGAGGATGAGAGTGAGGAGAATGAAGCTCTGCTGCAGCAGCACTGCAGACGCCACTCAAAATCCACAACACACTGTTTGTATCACCAGGAGAGAGAGACCGGGAGAGGGGCATCTGACATACGGGAAAGAACAATTTAGCAACAAACATCCATTTCGATGTGATGTGAAAATGGATGAGTTGTCTTTCCATAATTATTCTAACCTTTAGAAAAGGTTCAGAACGCTGCAAGAAGACATTTAGAGCTTCACCTAAAAGCCCCAATCCCGCTCTGTCTGTGCTCCAATTAGCGCATTACACTTACAATTTCCACCTCTCTCACCTCGCCCCAGCCTACACTCCTGCTGGCCTATCCTCAGCCCCGCAGGCTTTGACCCCCCCCCCATCGTCAGCTGTGCCCCGCCTCCGCCTCGTCTCCTTTCTCTCTCCATAGTTTGAAAATATGATCCTGCTTCCAGCGCAGGGAGGAAGCCACAAGCAGGGAACGACCATCCAGGCAATTTCAACAAAGAAAGTCACTGATCCTTTGAAAAATGAGCACACACGTATGTCGCAACAGCCACTGAAATATTTATGTGACAATAGAATATTAATATTGATTACTGGGTACCTCTCCCTGCCTGCTGTTATGCCTTCTAGTATAACTGGTAAAAACAATTCAATGCTGGCTGTTCAATATTGCATCATACCAGTTTCCACTCGCATTCAATCATATCATGCCAACCCGTCAAAAAAAGGATAAAAAAAAATAAAACTTGTGAATGTGAGAGATGAATTAAACATTACCCTCTAGGATGTAGCATTTGACTTCAAGTGTTTAGTCTTTGGAGATGCTGTACGCTTCTGTTCTCTAACTGCAGCACTGTGGATTAAGGAACCAGGACATACTGTACTTAAGACTTTGGTCCTGGCATGTCTCATTGTTAGCTCAGGCTGACACTATATACAGTGAAATATCTCTCCGTCTGAATGATACTGGCAGGGACACAGGTATCTGTTGTCCAGAGTGACCTCAGGCTGTCCTCCTTTGCTGCAACCAAGTGTATATTTCATATCCTTTCAACTTTTCAACTTTCTTTCATTAAACTTGCAGCCATGGCTGGTCCTTTGTTTTCTTTCACAATCTTTTTACTCTGCCATCTTCCTTTCTAAGCCTTTCACCAAACAAGCTCAAGCTTTTCTGTTCACTGTGAAACATCCCTCCAGATGTCCCCCATCCCATGACAAATCCCTCTCAAGCACGTCTCAAGACTTTTTGTCTGCCCCCTGCCTTGCCACTCCACAGCTCAAGCTGCTGTCAGAGAGTTGACCCTTCTGAAGGTCAGCCTTCCACAGTCAACTTACGGGGACAGGGGCGATGGCAGGCTATGACAATAACAAGAGCAGGCACTCCTTTGCTTTACATACTTAATGGCTTTGCCCTCCATTAGCCCACAGAATTAAGACAGATCACCTCTTTGGATCGGCTCAGTCTCTGCTTCATTCCTCTTCTTGTCTTCTGCACCAAAGCTTTCTCTCTCACTTTTTATGCCTGTTTCACTTCTTTTCCTCCCAGTCATCTATAATCAGCTCCCTTATATAACCTCATCTGCCTGTTAACAGCTACATACAGCATAGCTGGAAGAGTGTAAAACCTCACTTAAGAGTTTTAACAGCAACAACACAGCCTGATTCAGGGGGAAAGTCTGTTAAGGTCAGTTCAGAAGGCTTAAGGAAAGGAACTGACAGGAACACGCCACCAACAAGCCATGACTATTTTGGAAAATACAATGCTTAAGCTGAAAAGGCCAACTACTGAATGGAAAAAGAGTGTACGACATGAAGGAAAGCTGTTAGCTGTGAACTATATGACAGCTAAGCGACACATTTTTGTGTGGCTGTGTATGTGAGTGCCTCTAGGACATGCTTTGGAATTTGGTGTTCCTACATGTTCACAGTACTGTTCAAAAGTTTGGAATCGCCTGTCACAAAAGCTTGATTTGGTACAGTCAGATGGCTGACTCTATGTTTTTGAATAGTCTTTCATGCTTTTAGGCTGTAGAAAGTCCTCTTTACAAATTGATGTTATTTTGTGCAGGGTTTGCTAAAAAAGTAATGTTTTGTACATGGAGAAGAAAACGCTGTACAATGGGTCGACCAGACTGACAACTGAAAGGGCAGAAAGAGACAAAGACACCTCTGAGCAACAATTAAATAATAATATAATAAATTACCAGTAAAAGAAGTTGGAATCTGTGCAGATTTAAATAGAAACAGGTTAATAATAATGCCTTTATAAGCTGGAATATTTGGGCATGTTGGTTTAGAAAAGCTTTTCTTAAAACTCCTAAATAGAAATACAACGTCATTCCAGGGTTGTCTCTATTGGAATTGGATCACAGAATATCAGCTGAACATACGTATGTGGATTTATAAATCATAGTCTAACCTTATTCAATCCAACCACTAAGTACACTGCAGAGGATCCAAAATATTTATAGCCCTGCTGCACCATCGTGGTTCAATAATGATCTTACTTAAAGACCCATATGTTTTAATCATTCTAATTAATAAATAATACAATTGATGTCTGAATTATGCAGTTTTTATCTATGTTAAAACAGCCATTTTTGAAGAAAAGGAATCAATAGGTGACTCCAAACATACCCTTGAGATGAGCTCTCCGACCATGCCGGTCCACGTTCCATTGGCTCCAGGAACTCCGTACAGCCCGTCTCCGACCAGCCGGATGCGATACTTGAACTTTAGAATATCTGCCAGCTCCTTCAGCATGTCCACGCAGAAGCCTTCGTAGCGGTCATTTCCCTCCAGTTCCTGGTGGTTCGGCCGCAGCATCACATACGGATTCTCCTGAAAAACATACAGAGTTTGCATCGAGAACAGTAGCCTATATCTTGTATGAGTGGTTGCGTGACAAAGCGAGATGGAGCACAGACAAGATACAAAATAATGTACTTTGTATTGTATTCTAAAGGGACACATTTACTTTTTACAAGTCTTCTGTGGTTAACTTTCCTTTTAGCAGAAAGCTTGTGTCACAAAGTGGGGTTGTAGGCATTTACCAGAAAGGAAGGGTCTAATAAAAATATGCTACGAGATATGTGAAATGTAGGCTTCAGTGTTTTTGGGAGCTTGATCAGTACTTGAGACTAAATGTCAGGATATGTTAGACTGTTGTTTCGATTTTGCCAAATCTCTTGAAAATACCCACAACTTTATGTAAGCGTGCTACTAAATCACTGGAGTGCCTCTTTAATGTTTAATGTGATTGCTTTACAGAACCTTGCTACAGATTTTACAGTCAGGACGAATGGTGGAAGCATCCCATATGTCCTTTGGAGGTCATAGTTCACGTCAGGTTTACCGCCTTCAATGAAAAGTGATATTTGTGGATTTGAAGCAGAGCCAGGCACTAAAATCAGGAACAGACAGGCGTGCTAATCTGTTATATCCAGCAAAAAGAGGATAAGAAACAGAAGCAGTTTTCATCCCAGTACATACACACACAGATCCCCCCATCACACGTATTTACAACCTGTCTTTTAGAGAACCAACTCTCCTGTTCGCCTGTGTGTTTATTTATGTCTTGTTTTGTCATTTAGTTGATGTTGTAGGAAGATTTAAAGAGCCCCGCAGTGATGTATTTTGGAGACACCCTTATTGTGCTATTTTTCAAATAATGCAACTGTCAAACTGGTGCGTTCAGGCTGCACTACATCATGAAAAAGACAGCGTTATGTACCACTTTGCTCTTGCTTTACCCCTGCACTCAGCCCGTGAATCCAGCTAAAAGTAACTTACTTTGGCAACGATACATCAGATAACAATGATTAACAAGTCTAAGTGTTTTCTTGTGCTGACACTTGCCATTTTTTTATAAACAAAAAGAAAATAAAACTGATTTCTTTATTGTTGCAGATAGAAGTTGTTTTAAGTGGCTTTATTTTAACAGAAGTTTGTGTGTTTATACTAAAATAGCACTCAATTTTTTTTGTTAAACATGATTTTGTTTAAGAGATTGTTGACTACTTGTTTTAACATATATGCCTCCAGCGGTGTGCTTGCAATTCACCACACAGTCTTGTGTAAGCCATTTAAAACCTTTGTGACAGCTCTCAGGAGGGTAAAGCATAAGCAGTAGTGCTGTGGCGATGTATTTTGAGTGGAATACAAGTGAAATTGTTTTGTCATTGACGCAGCTGGAAATACTTATTTGTGTGTTAGCTGCTTGACTGGTGAATAATTTTCCTCACAGTGAAAGCCACAAAAATAGTTGTTACATTGAAGTGGGAATATTTGAGAACTTGGTGCACATCAGGTGGCACAGCTGTTTCTGTGACTTGCTCTGTTGTCATAGCAACCGTTTGGTTCCACCTGTAGCTGCGTACAGAGGGGGTTCGGCTCACTTTGACACTGCATCGGGCGGCTTCGCCTGTTTCTCGCTGCATCACTGGACAGTAGAACCCACAGCTTCCTGCTCTGCTGTGATAAGAATGAGAATAAAATGACTGCTGATCGACTCTCTCGGTCTGCACCTAGTATCTGCATATGGATTCAATTTATCCAACCAGGCTAACAGTTCATGCTGCATAGCAACAATAACCTGCAGTGTCTTACAGAGAGAGGTATATGACAAAGCCCGTATTACAAGATGTGAGAGTAAATGGGCAGCATGTGTGTATGTCAAAGCAGAAGTTTGGTGATGTTCTTTATTTTATTATTGTCAACAAACTCCATAAAAAGATCAAAACCAATTATGAATTCAACACTATAACAAGAATTGCCTATGTAGACAAAGCCTAGAGCTTCACAGTTATCCAACAAATATTTAAAACACATCAGTGAGCCACACTGTTGCACATGTTCCCTTATCACAATGAACATGGGCACCAAGTTCCAAACTTGTCTCCCAGAAATTACAATTATATAATACTAATTTGTATTACAAACAAAATTGCACTGAGAAATATTATATATTATTTTTTAAGTGAAGAACATTTTTGTACCACACACAAGTCATAGAGAGGTAGTCAGGTGGGATGGTGAGACTGTGACACCAGGGTTCACAACAGCACCTTGGTTAAGGTTAAGAAAAGATGTAATTAATTTTTTTCAATATTACAAAAAAAGACCATGTTCTCTCCCAACATTAATTTCCACCAAGCATTGACTGAATGTCTAAACCAGGGGTCAGCAACCTTTGCTCCTAATGGAGCCGCAAAACATATTTGAGCCTTCCAATGGTAATTTCTTGAATGATATATTCTTTAACTGTTTTTTAAAGATTTATGTCTTCAGCAGAAACGACTGGTCTTAGGGTTAAAGGCCACGGACAGAAATGCTTTCAGTATTGTTGGTTTTAGTCGTTTCATGGGATTTTTTGACAATAACAGTACAATAGCATATAGTGAGCCAGTGAGTAATATTTAGGGGGATCTATTGGCAGAAATTAAGTATAATATTCATAGATATGTTTTCATTATTGAGTTTCGTGGCCACCATAGTTTCTACTACATATTATGATGACTGGAAGACAAGTGGTATTCACTGGGTTGCAATCAGCAATTTCACTTGTCCTAGTATCTACACATCTAACTCCAGTTATAAAGTGTCTTTCCGTGCAGCTTATCCTCTTAACAGTCGAGTTTCAATCTAAATACGCAGCCAGGTTTATGTAGGCAATTTGAGTGGAAGGGGAATAAAATACTATTAAGTTTTTTTCAGGATAAGATTTCTATGATATTTGATCATTTTAATCCATTTCCAGGTGTTTTCATGAGTGGAAAACTAGTCTCTAAATTTCCAGGTTGTCCAGAATGCATGGGAACCCTGTCAAGAGTCAAGTTTCCAGCCAGTTAATGACTGTATGCACCAATCTTTATACGTAAATCTGTCCGTCTCTTCATTAACTCCTTAAAACAGCCACACATGTCAACTCACTGGCCTAAAGTGCATCAATGTATGCTCATATTTCAGCATGCAATACAATATAAATGTTAATTTCACAGCTCACAGACTGCTGAAGCTTTCCAAGCATCGACTTGCAGTCAAGCCAGACCAAGTCAGACGTTTTCACTCGCATTCCAATTTCCGCAACATTATTACAGAGGTTGGCTTTCATAGACATTTTGTACATAACGTGAGCCAGACCAAGGGACAGGATAGACATGAAGAAACACACAAACCTGATGCTATGTTCTCTTCACACCGACAGAACAGAGGACCAGTAATGTGCCTGGATGAATGAATGTTTGTGCCTTACAACAACAATTAATTAAGCAAAAACTGTAATTAACTTTCCAGCTTGTTGTTGATTGTGTTGTTGATGCATGTGAGGAACAATAAATGAATTCTATATTTATAACAAATGGCCGTGGGCATTAGGAAGCTCAATCTCCTGGAGTAAGGCTAGAAAATATTGCCTTTGTATCTTGTCTTCCACCCCTCTGTGTTGACCTGGTTAAGTACAGACTAATAAAATCCGACCTGGCAAGCACACACATCAATCACACCAGTAAAAACCTAACAGCAATCAATAGCACAGAATTGTTTTTTTCTTTTACTCCTCTGCTTTTTTTCTATGTTGTCTTTAGTTTCAATTTGTCTCTCTTTCTCTGAGCTCCAGTTGTTGTATAAAAATTAATAACCATATTTGTTCTGGGCTGCAAAACAAGGAACCACAACTACGATTGAAAGTTCATATATCTGCTGCAGTTCATCCAAAAAACTTCCACCAAACCCTGACAAGAAATCACTGAAAGAACCAGTTCCACTAGAAGCCTCTGTGAGGTTGAGAACAAAATCATATAAAAATAACTATATAAAGGTATGAAAAGTCTATGCAGGGGTAAAAAAGTGCTGTCTTCTATGAAGGCAAAATCACAAGGAACTTTCATCTACCTTCTTTTTGCATACCACAGCAAAACAGCAATAAAGCTATGAGTTTGAAGCCATAAAGAAATGCAGACTTTAAAAGCAGGCTCTTATTCCCAGGCCATGAGGAGTCTGGTTGCGGACTGATAACTTTGGAGGAAGAAGCACACTCTTACACATAAGCAAGTACGCACACAAACACACACACATATACAGACACAGGTGCCAGGTGCACTGGTGTTGTTCACATTGAGCTTCACACACCGTGGTGGAGTTTGTTCAAGATGTCTTCACACAACCCTCCTCGCTTTCCTCAACTGTTTTTCTTATCCTTAAAAACTTGCTCTCCAGAGCCTGGCAAACTGGCAGCCGAGATATAATTCTCTCACAGGGTTCTGTAGTCCCGTTTGAAGAAGAGCCACAGAAGCTTTGACAATACTCGGGTAAATACTAGGTTATTAGAAAAAGGGGCCAGGTCATGTAAGTTTTAACAGTTTTGTACTTTACAGGAAAATAAATAGAAACAAATAGAAATACAAATGCAAGTACACAAAAAACTTAAAGAAATGGGTACAGATCTTGTGTCTGTGTGTGCAAATTCATGTTAACACGCCTCAGAGCCACTGAGCCCCGTGTGCCAATAAATCGGCACTATGTGCAGTGTCGAATTCTTCCCAATAAGTATGATATGAGAGCGCTCTGGGAGGGCAGTCTGCTGAAAAACTGAGGGAATGACCTGAGAGTGATGTAGTTGGTAGAAAAGCCTTTTAAAGTAGGGACTTATAGCAGGTTTCAGTCATTAACAAGAACTTATGTTGGGACTTAAATATTGCGACTGTATGATGGCAATCCCTACAGGTAAAGCTCTGCTCCATTTCATTTCTTTCAGAAACAAGGAATAACAAGCAGTCCTGAAATCTGTAAGCAATGAGCGTGAGTAGTATTTAAGAGCCTAATTAAATGAGTGATATATTACCATCCAAGGCTGTTTAATGATTAGCTAGTGGCATAATAACCACAAGTATTTACATGACTGGCTGAAAAATATCTCACCCAAATGCTTGACATAGGCTGTGTATGTGTGTGTGGATTAGGTGGAGGTATGGGGGAGTTGGAAGATGCTCTACACATAGTGGTGGCTTTATGCTCAGATTAGTATTTTCTATTTTTCTTATTTTCTTTTTTCTTTAGTGCTGTTGTAGTTTCACAAAAAAAATCAATGTTTCTTGTTTGTTTGTATGCATGGCAGGAAGGAGGGAGGGAGGGTTGGTGTGTACAGCCAGATTTATACTTCTGCATTGAATCGGTGTACAACATAGTCTCGTACTCTAAGTCGTAACCTCCCTAGAAATCTAACTACACATCGAAGAGACACAGACCGCAACATTGATTTGTCTGCCTGGTGTGTGTGTGTGTTTGCATTGTCTGGGACTTGTGACAAACCCAGATGAGTTCATAATGCTGTTTGAGAATCATCTTCAAAACACACACACACACACACAACACACACACCACACAACACACACACACACACACACACACACACAGACAAACAGGCACATGTGGGATTGCTGCCTTACCTCATCTGTAACCTTTGTATTCCCTCATCTTTTTTCGTTGTAGGGAAGGCGGTGTTTCAGTTTCAGTCGCCATTGTTTGAACACAGTGACACAGAAACCCTACCACCAACTGCTACGTATAACAAGTATAAACGATGTAGGCCACTTGCGTAGGCAAAGGCATAGATGCGATTTAGAGCCTATGTTACTATTAATCTGCCTCATCTACTGTATGTAAATGTGTATGGATGTGGGAGGTGCATTTTCAGGGAAAGTGTTAGTGGTTAATGGTGGTGAGGGTGAAACGTGGACTGAAACTAAAGCTGAAAAAAAAAAGATGGTGTGTGTTTGAACGAGTGTTTGAACCTCACTCTGTTATGCTCTCAGCTTCAGAGCCTTTGGCATGGATGTCAGTATGCTTGTTCATTGATGCACCTTGATTCCAGTTTAACCTTAGAATCACAAATTGGGTGAAAGGTCTCCTCAAAAAGTAATAGGATGTCTTTTATTGAGAACAAATCCGCTAGCTCCACATGGGATTAGAAAAAACTGAAAATATAGAAATGAAAACAGATTACAAGCAACTGTATTTCAGAACAGGAGACCCACACACGATTTAGAACAACACAACCAAGAGAATTTTATCTCGAGGATATAATGGGCTTTTTTTATTACATCAGTGTGGCTATTGAAGGTATAAAGACATTATTTCAGTGCCAAACAAACTCAATCAATGATTACAAACACATGGCTTGTGACCCAGCGGTACAGTGATAATCAATTCTGTGACTGCGTTTTTTTTTTTTCTTTCCTAGAGCTGTTGGTGAAATTTAAGAGGGAAGGTGACGGCCACATGTGTGTGTAATGAAACTGCCCTGTAAAGGCCAGGTGAATGTGCACATGAACACACAAACACTGAATGTACACACACAAATGCTTGGAAGAGAGCATCCATAAATACTGTAAGTGCTAGTGCAAGCCCACACAAACACACACACTGTCTGCCAGGCCAGTGCTACAGGTAAGGAATTTCTTATGGAGGCTTTCAGCTGTGGCTCGTCTGCCGCCCACAAGCGAGATAACAGCGACACAGCAATCACACCATGATGAATGAGCTGTGATAGGCACTGAAAATTGCTCCTTGGTGGCTTCCGAAGTTTGGTCCAGGGACTCTATATCTCCAAAGTGAAATCAAAGCTCTGTGCTCGGCCAATTCTTTCTTTCACACCCTCTTTCTGTTGTGAAAACATTGTCTCATTTGTACTCCCCCTCAACCCAAACACACACACACACATCTCCATCCCCCCCCTCTGTCCCCGTGCCCTTCCCCTCCTGTGTGAAATGAACCATTCCATCTGAATCCCAATCAGTCTCAATGAGACCAGTGACTTGTTCAGTAGCGAAATATGGCAATATGTCCTTCCCTCGTTCGCACGGCTCCGCAGCGGATAAGCCAGCCACTCAGAAAAACGCATTGGGGCCAATTGCCTCTGCTTACAAGCTACTTTGTGTGTTATCGTCTGATTCATCAACGGGGAGGAGGAGCTGGGCGAGTGACAGGTTTGTGCGTGCGACTGTCTGTGTGTTTGCGTGTGTATCGAGGGATGAAGAAAGACATGAAACACACGCAGCTGACTGGAAATCTGAATGGTTTTATGTCGTTCCAACATGAATCCGTTCATCACCTCTGATGTTCTACAGTAGCACGTCAACACACAGAATCCCCATCAAAGCTACTGAAGGCAGCATTATATGCTTGTCACAAGGTTTTTGGAAATTCCTGAAACATCTGCTCAACTAATTAAAACAGGTAGGCAATTAATTAATGAGCAATTAATCACTGTTAAGAATATATTAACTGTGCAAAGGCTGCATTAGGCATTAGTTCCATTTGTGTTTCAGTGGCTGAATTTTTAGGCCGTTTTTATCAAGAAGCAGTTACAGTGAACAGCTTATGACTCACCCCTGTGCATTTTGATATGCTAATAAATAATAACCAGGAGTTCTAGCTGATACATCTGTAGGTATCTGTAGGCTACGGGGCTGAATATGCTTCAAACGAAGTGCCTGTCAGATTGTCAAACAGCATCTGAGGCACCCACCATGCACACCTTTCTGATGTCGAAAAAAAGTCTGCAGGTGAGGAAATTCAATATTTGAACTTCTCTCTTAAAATCTTTTTGATTCTTTTCAAAAGTACTTCCATCTTTTTCGATATGAACAACATCATGTTCAACATCATAAATGCCCTTTCTGTATTTACAATTCAACATGTCCAGAATAAGAAAAAACAAAGGAGCAGAACTTTTGAAGTGAGATTGGGGAGGCGCATGTGACCATTTGGAACAGCTATAAACATTTTTGCTGTAAGATGAAACACTGTACAAACTACTCTGATTCAAGCATATTGATAGCCCTTTTCATTAATACAAGAATGAGATGTTTTGCCCTCTAATAAAGCCCATAAATTGTGCTGAGTTATTACGCTTTCTCATTTGAATTAAATAACGGCAGGCAGGAGCAGTAATTCTGAGTGACAGTATTGTTTCCCTTTTTAATCTTATTTAAATAATTTACTTGTGTTTATTTAATTTATGATTCAGACACCCAATTTACTTAGGTGTTGCTGAAAAAGAAAATAGCCAAAGTCAACCTTTTAGAATTTTGTACTTTATAAGCTTTTAAGGATTCACAGATTATTAATCATTAACATTGCAGGTGATTAAGAAAGTTGCTTAAAAGATGCATTGCTTATAAAAGGTAGCTCAGTGAAGGGAGCTCAAAGGATCTATATTTACTACAGAGGCTGAGAATGGTTGGCACGGTGAATTATTAGCTCCTGCTGATGCACTGTGATGTAGCCTCATCTGAAGTACTCAGGGCAAAACAATCGCGCAGCATCAGTTCCTCTGATCCCAAGAGGACTGAATTTGGATCTGAAAATACAAAATGGGCTTTTGATATGGTAATTGTCTGTCAACCACAGAATGTCAGCCACATGTAGATCAGCCCAGGAGCTGAGCTAATAAAATGACATGGACTGCTGCTGATGTGTGCATACAGTGGTACTTACTAATATTGTTGTGATGGTAAGAGTAGTGTTGAAGAGGGTGTCTGTCACATTGATTGATGGAAGCTTTCTCTCCATGGACAGTCCATCTTCTGAATGCCACAGGCCAATCTGCAAAGAGGGCACACACACACACACACACACAAACAGATCAGTCACTAAGTCCATCAGCTGGAAAAGGCCAATAGAAACAATCTTAGTGCTTAATTGCCTCCTTCTTTTCTAAAGGAGAATCAGTATGACCTTCACAAAAGACAGCATAAGACAGATGGAAAGCAGTGGACAGATCACCACTGTGAGAGGAGGTGAAAGCGAAAAGTTAGCAAGACTGCAGGCGTAAACGAAGACAACATGCGTGTGGCTCCTTTAGGAGTGAACACAGGGCATTTGTTCAATCAGAGGCAACAGAATGCATTCATTAAACCAATTACCGGCAAATCCTGTGGCGCAGAGCCACATTCTCATTTTCATTACAGCTCGAGTGGGGATTCACACCTCCACCTCGCATGGCGTCATTCCTCCCATCCACTTTCAATCTGTCTCGGTCATCTCCTGCTTCGTTCATTTATTCGCTTGACCCAAGTTTGTCAATCTCGAACTCCACAATGACAGGCTCTGCAAACATGAGCATTTTGTACATCTACTTTGCCTCTTGCTACTTTCAGATACACTTCTACATTTTACCATAATGGCATTGACAGGAAAAGACCTCTGATTTGTATGCTCTGACCTTGACGGATTTACAAGGCTCCTCTAATGGTTGGGAAAATACTACAACCCTGAGGCTTATTAAAATATGTTCAAGTGCTGCATAAAGTGAAAAATGTAAAGTTGTTCAGTAAAACTAAGTGTTTTTCTTAGTTTTTACATGACAACAGAGCTTTGACTTTCCCAGTTGCTATCAATTTACTCTCTGCCTTTGCTGTGGTGTGCTATGATATTGTTATTCACATTTAAAATTGCAATGCATCTTTTGCTGGTGATTATATGGTAAGAGTTATGTGACACAACACAGGCAGAACTATCAGCAAAACAATTTTCCTTTCCTTATCTTGCAGCTTCACAAGCTATCATTTTATTTATGCAGCTGATGCAGAAACACACACTTTCGATGTCAATAATAAAAGGAGCAGTTGCTGTGTGTTTGGCGCAGAAGATAACCTTAAAATAAATCAAGATAAAATGCAAAATACATCTTTTTATTAGTTTCATTGATGTAACTTATCTCCTGTTTAGATTTAATATATGAGTAATATTTTAAGGCCATCCTGCTAACTGTGTCTCTACTAAGATTACAGTGTGTGTGTGTGTGTGTGTGTGTGTGTGTGTGTCTTATTGTGGAAACTAGTTGGAAAAATAGGCAGCAATTTCATTATTTTTTATCAAATATTCCTAAAAACAACCTGTGTGACTGACTGAGAAAATAAAATGACAATTAATAACCCTCTGATTTTGATCATTTACATTCAAACTCTGTAGTCTACCTCATTATGTAAACATTGCCAGACTGCAGAGAAATAATATCCCTTGTCATAATAATCAACCTTCCTCCATTATAAATATTATATAGTAGGAGTAAAAGAGAAAATATAGTCTCTAATTTATGCTTGATACATTGTTGGGGTGAGTTAATCTATGTCCCTGGAATGAGCTCTCTGATTACATGTTGGAAAACCTTTAGGAATATCCTCGTTGGTTGGAGTCAGACTGGAGAGAGAATCAGTGATTGAAGTTTGATTAAAAAAAAAGAGAAAAAGAAAAACTACAGTAAACAACGCTCTCTAAGCTTGGTCATAGTCTGCTTCAAGGCTAAATTGCCAAAATTCTCAGGAGATTTCAACCCATTCATGTTGATCAGTGGCTACATTTGGAAGCAGTTTAACCACCATCCTGATACTGGTGATGAATTCTGATGTGAGATCTAAAAAAAAAAAAAAAGGAAGAGAGAGAGAGAGAGCTACCGGAATCAAAGATTTCCTTTGAGAGTATATGATCAAAAAGATCTTTGCTTCCATTTCCTCTGGTGTACTTGTTGGGAGAAACAGCACCTTAATCACACAAATAGACTAGCGCTACCCAAACCCCCTGGACAACACACTCCGCACTCTGCTGATGATGGCCTCAAGAAACAGAGAAGGCGGAAATGTGAACATACTGTAGCAAGACCCAAAAGGAAAATAAAAAAATATATATGATGTTCAGCAATCAGCGTACACAATCAGTTGTCGGAGCCTGTGGAGGTGGTGGGAGGTGGCCGTCTGTGGCTTGGCTGGGCTCAGCAGGTGTCACCAAAGGTCTGAGCATGGGGGTGACTGAGAGGGTAATGGGATGGGGTGGCACCGTTACTCATGCCCAGGAACAGGAGGGGAGGTAAGGGGCGAGAAGGAGATGAGGGAGCTGTGAGCAGGAAGGCAGAAGAAGCATATGCTGGCGGGGAAGGAACTGGCCCTTTGGTGGCCCTGCCGTCAACTCTCTTTGTGTTGGGAGGGGCAGAAAATAGAGCCGTACTGATTGTGAGTCACTTCGATTAACAGGAAGAAAGATGTATACATCAGCTAATGTAAGCAGGAACGCACACTTGGGAGAAAACACACCGTGACATTTATCAAACAGACTGAAAACCTTTAATGTTGTAATTATTCTTTGTAAGACTTTAGGCAATAAATTACACTTTTTATTATTGATTAGTGCAATAAAAATGGGAGGCTACTCATTATATAGCACAAATGGGATGAAAAGATGACAAGTGTCTAAATGTTGGAGAAACCAATACACAACAAATTAAATTGATGAAATATTAATCAAAGCACAACACAGTTGCCATTAATCTGATGGCCAGGAAAGAACATCAGTAATCTTACATGTCATTTCCCATTTAGAGCATTTTGTAATAATTCTGTAGGTTGTGCAAACTCTAAAGCAAAGGGAAGCCTAACCATCGCATTAATCCTTGTGAAGCAACAGCATTGAACCATTGCATAAAACCTCATTATACACGCAGCACAACCCGAGAATCTATTAGACTCATAAGCTTTTATCATAAAGGGAAGAAGCTGCATATTGCCATACACCAGACTGTGTTTGTGTACAACAATATAAATAGCTGTAACTTGGTGTTTCTCATTTGCAGTGTCATTAATTTGGTATTTACACTGCAATTACAATAAATAAGTGTAGAACCAGCGACTCTAGGAAACAAATTCAGACAATGTTCAGACTTTTGAGGAGTGCTGCGCACTATTTATTTCCCTAAGAAACTTGGAGGCGGGAGGAAGAATAGGGTATAATAAGAGAGAAGGGAATCGGAGAGGAGCAAAAGGAAAAGACTGAGAGAGAAATAGAAAGATGCAGGGGAATGTCAATCACTTACTCAATAGGTGCGGTGAGGCTGGTGAATGGAAAGAAAATCAATGAAAAGTATGAGAAGCAGCCAGCTAGGGAGCCAGAACATAAGGTGGAGAGAACATGAGAAAGAGACAGAAAAAAAACAGAGAGAGAGAGACAGAGATTTTATGTGAGTGCAAAATAAAGAGAAAGAGCGAGAGAGCGAGGAAAAAGAGAGAGAGACACACAGAGAGAGATGAAGAAAGTGACAACAAGTGGAGCAACGCACCCTGCGACGGATTACCCGGGGTTCGTTCTGAAACCTGGAATTACAGCACGAGGAAAAGATTAGGGGGGCTGCTCACTGAAGCATCAGGATTGGCTGATTTTCCTGTCAGAAAAAAGCCGTGTCCAATAGGGTGTGGCGATGACTGCGCAGTGACAGACGCATCCATCATATATGAGAGAAGCAATAGCTACCATTATCAAGCATAATGTCATACAGCCCACTTACACCGAGGCTAAAGCATTAAGGTGTCACAGCGGTGCAAATGAGTCTGAGTCGAGGACGGGAATGTGTGTGTTTCTGGCTGTGTACTTGTATATGTGGATATCTGTTTGTAGCTGTATGTATTACAGAGGCATAATATCTTCACGGGCCTCTGAGGATGGACTTTTATTGCTCTTATAGCAACATTATGCTATCTCAGCTTGATGAAAATATGCTGAAGTAGAAGCAGTTTCTACCCATTGGCGGACATTACCACTGGTTGAATCAGCAGCCAGGGCCCGGTTAAAACAAAACTGAGGACAGTTATATTTAGAGTGCACCCACTCTGCCTCACAATGATCACATTGTTCAAATGTACAAGCAAAGGCATTGTATTAGTGTGTGTTGGTGTGTAACTGTTATGCATGTTTTCTCTACGGAATAGTGAGTGGGGAAAATGGGCTATCTTTTTACAGAAGCCCTCTATTGTATGACTCATCATCAACAGGAATGAGACTAATCAGGGTGGCGCCGTAGGCAAACTTCAGGGACTAGACAGACACAGGTGGTGGTGTAGGTGGTTGGCAATACCATACAGTAAAGCGAGGCTTGGGTAAAGCACACAGTCGTGACTCTAGAGCTGATTGAAGAAAAGGAGATACAGACTTGTCCTTGTCGTATTATTGCCAAATTCTTTGCTACTATTTCCTGCTGGTCAAGACACCTCTGAACCCTGTAAGTGGAGAAAAGCAAGTGTGGAAAAAGGTGACCTGGTTACACTTTTAAGAGCTGTTGTTTCATAACAGTTTAAACTGTGTTTGTAACGTCCGAGCACGCACAAATATATTGTGTTATTTTAGATCTGGTAATTTATCCTAGAGCTAGTCAGCACTGTCGTTATTTGGCATTATAGTGTATAATGGCATTGCTTATGAGCTCTGGGTTGGGGAGAAGGTTGTCGGCTGTCAGAGCAGATCTTCAAAGCAGCGCTGCATGTTCTCCAAGTGCTGTATCCCCTGTAGAGCGCACAGCAAACAATGGATACCCTTGCAGACGCAGTCCCAGCTCTGCCTGTTTACCCCAACACTACTGACTGTCCAAAATGTCTTCATCTCTAGCGACCATGTTAGTGGACACAAACTCTAAACACTGGGGGACACAGCAAGACTTTCAGGGTTGTGTTCCAATCCTCATCGCTCATTACATCCATCCAGTCCTACTGTTTTCCAGCTCTTCTAGAAGTGCAGTAAGAAGACATGAATTGCTAAAACATTAGGGGTCATGACTGTCTGACATA